TTGTATAATATATTTTTTATTTAAAAATTTATTTATAATATTATATATATCTATTTGTTTAGTATTATGTTATACTTATCTAATATCATATCATAATTAAAAATTTACAATCTTAAATGACATTATAATTATATTGTTACTATAAAAAAGAAAGTTTAATTACAAATAAATTTTTGCACAATTAAAAAAATATAAAGAATTTTTAAACTTTTTTAACAAATAAAGTTTAATTCTTTTGAAAAACTAATTTGAATAAGTGAATGAATTAAAAGAAAAAAATGCAATAAATAACTTTGCTCTTCTCCTTTTCCGTTTAAATTTTTTGAACCAAATAAAAAAAATTTCTTTTTTTCTCAAACTAAATATACTTATAAAAAATTTATTCTTTATTTAATACTCTAGTTTTACAATTTAATAAATTTTAATCTACACAATATACGTTAGGTGTTAAATAAATTTTTTTATTTTCTAATTTTCTTTTTGGCCGAGCATACTCTTTTTTCACCTTCCTTCTTATTCACGAAGTCAGTTTCACAGACTCTTGAATGATAATTTTATTTTAGGGTTTAAATTTTTTTTTTTTAACTTTTTTTGGGTAAGAAACAGTTTGCGTGGATCTCCCAGTGCACATAAACCGTTTCTAGTCGAGAGAGGTTAGAGTCCGTAAAACTACTCATTATTTTTAGTTGCCAATCACCATTGACGAAGGACTTGACTTGAAGTCAATGCAGGTGGAGGTGGGCGAAACTTAACCAAATTGCCATTGACGCCATCTATGTCCATAAAGTTTGGATGGGCCATGAGGGACGCATTGAAGCAACCAAAGAGAAAGAAACAAAGTACCTTAATCATAATCACATACAAATTATTCCCAAACATACATGTCTTTTGGATCAACATCATACTGTTAATGTACTTTTTCCATGCACTTAAAAACACAAGCTACAAACATAGGAAAAACATAAACTTTTCCCACAACCTCATCAAAATTCCTGTTCCTCCATTTGCTTGAAGGAGAGGTCGGAAGGGCCACCATTGGGTAGCAAAGCCAATCTCGTAGGACCTGCAGCACCTTCTTCAACACTCAAGATTCCAGTATTATAGTTTATATCGATCAGTTTTCACAAATCCAGGGCAGACTACAATTGATGCAGAAAGCCGGATACTTCTTGGCCAGAATCCTTGTGTATGCATCCATGGCAGCTTTTGAGAGTGTATAGGCAGAAAAATAATGAGGCCAGCCTTTGGTTTCCAATGACCCCTCTTTATAATCTTTCAGGTATTGGCTCAGTACCTCATCCACTTTCTCTTCGGTAAGGTTTTCAGCATCACCTAAGATTGCTGTTGCCCATTCATTTGATACATTCTGAACCTAGGAAATTAATTATATGCGGAAGCCTTACCTTTCCAAAATTTGAAGCTCTAGAGCATCAGCATCTGCTATGACGCCAGGAATTCCTGCGTTGTTCACCTACACATGGTTGATGATTACAAAATGCTTCAGCATGCATTACTTACAATGATTCTGGGGGGGTTTTACGAAAATAAATGGCTGTTCCTAGCTACCTGACTAATCAAAAGATAATGATTCTTCAGGACAACAGGAAAACAATATTGAATAAATATAAACAATTAAGGTAGAGAGATTCAAGAAACTGGAACTCAAATTTACCAAGATATCGAGCTTTCCAAACTGGGATTTGATGAAATCTGTCAGAGAAGCGATACTGGCAAGATCTGCAACATCAAGTTGGTGAAAAAGAATAAAGTCAGAGAGACAGATTCTCTGCGCTTTTCTACAGCTTCAATGCCCCTCTTCTCATCTCTAGCAGTCAAAACATCAATCACCCCTTTTTCGGCTGACTGCTTCCATATTCCCAGTCCAATCCCCTTGTTTGCGCTGTGAGAATTTTAAAGATCAACTGCAATTTAGGATGTTAAAATCTAATAAAATAAATAAATTACAATTAATGAGTTATATCACTTCTTAACTTTATTATTTACAGAGGTAAAGTTTTTTGAATTAGAGAAGGGATTTAATCTATTATAATAATCTTTTTGGTACCCTTATAAGTAGCCCACCTTTAATTTCAGATTCTACATTTATTTATATTACATCACATAAAATTGAGATAAAGTCTAGATTTACTTGGATCACATAATTTTATTGGGTTTTACCGATTTTCTATTTGACTCAATTTTGAAAACCAAACACAATTATTGGAAGTCCATATAAAATTTCTAACATTCTCCCACTTGTGTAACGTTAATTAGTTTTAAATTTTAAAAATCATATTTTTTTTAAAATGACTCTTGTGGTCAAACACAACTTTAGTGACTACAAATATAAATTAAAATCTCAGCACAGAATTCCATTTAATGAAAATACTAATACTAGACTATGTGGTCATTATGTCATTAATAACACAAGACCTCTCACAATCACAAGTATTAAATATTTCCACCAATATTAATTCTAGTACAAGTGATAAAGTGTAGTATGGTTGATACAATGTGATCCATATAATATATAATATGTCAAAACTACAACGGTTCTCTTCATGGTTTCAAAAAAGCTCTTTATCAAGCCGTAATCCTTTTTACACTTCCCCAATGAAGCTTTTAAGCTTTATTATGGTTTCATAGAAATTCAAGAGATAATCTCCCCCACTTTTCTAGAAAAGCCTTTATACTTCAAAAAAAACTCACACTTCCAAAGAAGCTCTTTTCCATTATACCTCAAGATCTTAGTATCAATATTTGTATGAGCTCATAAAAAACCATCAATACAATGCACGTGCATCATTATAAAATAATAAGTGATATAATAAGTAAAATAAGCTTATTATTAATAGAAAAATCAACTTATCCCACTGATCAAAAAGGCAAAAAGGGCAAATCAGCCCCTTAACTAAAAACAGACACAAATTAGCCCTTCAACTCATTGTATGGTTGCAAATTAGCCCTTTTTGTATGGATTACATTAGACAATCGTTAATTTGTAATAGAAAAGTGCTTCTGATGGGGTCCATTGCTTACATGACAATATGGTGGCATTTTTTATCCTACATCAGCATTGGGTTGGCACTAAATTGGTCATTTATATTAGGGTTTTTCCTTATGGTATATTTGTTGTACATTTTTATTACTAATTTATATAAAAAATTATGAAAATAAATTTTATTTTTAATATTAATGTCACATAATGTACTTTAATTAGACAATTAATAAAATTAAAGTTAATTTTTTATACAACAATTACAACTTATGTCTCAATCAACAATACTTAAATTTATCAAATTTATAACAATTACTTAAAAAAAGACTTGTTACT